GCCCGGGCGCCGGGAGCCACTGAGGACGGTCCTGCAGAGGGCCCTGGGGGAGGGGTCCCAGCCAGGGGCGGGGGGGCTGTCCCTGCCCATGGGCCCCGTCTAGGGGTGGCTCTCCCTCCCCCACCTCCAGAGCTATCAGGAGACCCTGCCCTTGCTCAGACCCTCCCAGGACTGTAAGGAGCCCACCCAGCACCCGGCTCCTGCCTTGGGACCCAAGGACGGGCCGAGCCTGTAGGGGGAGGCAGGGGGAGGCAGGGGGAGAATCAGGTCTCTGGGGAGGGGACCCGGGGCACAGGGGACACACACCTGCAGGCAGGCCCAGGTCTGCTCCTCCCCACCCGGCCACCTGCATCCCACACAGGGGGACTGCAGCGTGGGGTAGAGCCGGCACCCTCACCAAGGTGGGGGCTGATGGCCTGGAGCCCAGGCCTCTGGCTCCGAGGCAGGTGCCCAGTTGCCCTTAGGGGGCCATGTTCACATCCTGTCCCGGGGCCATGCAGCTTATTCTGCACTAAAGTCTATTCTTCAACTGAGTTGCTGGTTCCCCTCCCTCACCCTCGTGGGCACCCCCCAAAACCTCAGGTCCAGAGTCCCACTCACAGACGACTCCGGTGACCATACAGGCCGCCTTCCCAACTCTGCCTCCTGGTGTCACCAGCACAGGCCACCAGATGGTGCTGCCTCACCACCCTGCGGACCCCGCGCTGCAGGCTGGGCCTCCCCACCAGCCTCTCAGGAACCTGAGGACCCTCCAGGCCTGCAGGGTGCACTGTGAGGGCCCCGCCGGGCCCCTGCCCCCATCTGCTCACCTGTAGCCATGCCGAGGGTCCCCCCACCGCAGTTGTGCCTAGCCAGCTGGACCCACAGAGTTCCAGAAAGAACACAGGAAAGGAGGGGGGAGACGGCGGGGGTGGGAGGGGGAGTCGGAAGCCCCCGGAGGGCAGGTCACTCTGCGGGTTTTCTAATGACTTAACCCACACAGGCTGGGCTGAGGCTCAGGAGGGGCCCCCGCAAACCAAAAGACAGACCCCTCGTGGCCAGCGTTGGAACATTCCAGTCCTGCAGGAGCACCAAGATGGAGCGCCCACAGGCCCGCCCTCGTTTTTGGTGAAAGAGGGCTCCACTCGCGGGATTTTCAAGACATACCCTCAGAAAAAAAAATAAATAAATTCCTTTCTTGTTCTCTTCATGCTCTGCCAATCTGTTATCGCAGACACCTGTGCTGCCTTTGAGCTGCTGGATCAAGTTGTGCTTTCCTCGTTAGAGAAGCAACGTGTTACTCCCTGTGGGGAACTTGGGGAGGTTCAGACACAGAAAGAAGGAAACTCAGCTGCAGCCCCCACCCAGAGAATGTCCCCCTGCGGGATTCTGGCCTTTCATAAGTCCACCCAGAACTGGGGCGACTGCCTGGAGCCTGGGGTCACCCAGCTCTGTTGGTCTGGTGGGCTGGGGCGGGGGAGGCCCCCCAGCGTGGGGAGGCTGGGAAGGGTGTGAACAGCCTCCCTCCTTCCAACTTCACCATAGACCCCCAGAGGGAGCATGGCTCCTCCCCAGACGTCCTGGGCATGGGATAAGAGTAGGGGGCAGCTTCCAAGGTGGGGTGCCCCAGGGTCAGTCCCATGCTTTCAGTCCAGGAATTAGCTGCAGGGCCCCCTGGGGTTGTCCATCTGTGTGCCCAGAGGACAGGTGGGCAGCCCAGCAGCTGGCTGTGTCTGGGGCTCATGATAAATAGCCCTGTCTAGACAGAGGGGACACACAGGGGCTGTGGCTCCCAGAGCCTGCTGCTGGGGCGCGGGGACACCAGCCCAGGCCCAGAGAGAAGCAGCCACGCCCCTGGTCCTAGAAAACTCACCAGCAGCTGTGGGCTGGGGCTGTCCCTGGGTGGTCTGTCTAGGAAGGGAGAGCCTCCTGGCTCTGGCTGCAGTGCCCAGCTCCTGCCTGCTGGCGGCTCTCTGGCCAGGTGACCTCCAGTGAGTCACCTGACTGCTCAGATGCAGACTGAGAAGGAAAACAGAAAACTTCCTTGCCCGGATGAAATGGGGAGGCCTCACAGGGCGGCCAGGCCTCACCTTCAAGGTCAGAGCAGCAGGTGCCTCCCCTGCCTGACCCTGGCCTGCCCAGGTGCTGCCGGCTGGTGCCCCTGCCCTTGGCCTCATCTGCCCTGCTTTGTGTCTGGGGCTCTGGCAGTGGGCACCCCGTCCTCCACCCCTCCTGTGCCTGCCTGCCCTGTCTGAGCACCAAAGTCACCACCATGTCCCAGCAGCCCCCGCCCAAAGGCACCGCCAAACTCGGACACAACACTTAGTCTTGTGTTGTCCTCCCTAGAGGACCGGCTCCCCAGGGCACCGAGCCACCGCCAAGTCACCCCTCTCTCCTGGGCCTGGGAAGAGGGGCTGCAGAGGTACCCAGCCCATGGACGGACAGGTGGACAGCTGGGTGGATGGGCGATGGGTGAAGGACAGGGCAGAGTGAATCACTGGTCCCACCAACTGCAGTGCAGCAGGGGAAGTGGACAGGCTGGTCCTGAAGTCTGGAAGCTTCCAGAACAGCCCACACCTGGCCAAGGTCAGACAGCGCAGCCCGGCCACCCAAGCTGCTCCGTGCAGGACCCTGGATTGGAGCTGGGGTGTGTCCCTGCCGCGGTTCCCATCCCCAAGGAGATGTCTGGAGAAGTGTCAGGCACACTCACAAGGACGGTGTGAAGCCCAGTCAGGCGGCGTTAGTCCCCACGTGCCCTTGATAATCCCAGTTTGTGACTGTGGCCCTGGCCTCCTTTTTACTGGCCAGAGTTCTGGTTTGGATGTTAAATCATGTGGTCACCCTAACATTAGGGGAGTCCAAGGGAGGGTCCCATGTCCCACTGAGGAAGCAGGGGAGGCTTCCTGGAGGAAGAGGCTTGGGAAGGCCGTGTGGGGCCAGGAGGAGAGAAGGCCGTCCCCGGCACAGCAGGTGGTCTCCCAGCAGCCTGGACGGGAGTGGGGGCCCTTCTGCAGGTGCCTGAGCAGAGGCTGAAGCAGCCCCTCGGGCAGCAGAGGGACCCGTGGCTCAGGGCCCAGTGAGGGAGCCCTGGACATGCCTGGGGAGAACTGAGAGCTGGAGGATGTCAAGGTCTCCGAGTGGCGAGGGGCCGCGTCCCTCCACTCCCTCTGGGCCTGCCTGCTGTCCACCGTCTGTCCTCCACGGTCTTGGGTACAGGTGTCTTGTAGACTTCTTGTAAGATCCACTCCTCAGGAATTCTGGGTGTCTCAGGACGGTGCAGAGGGACTTCCCGTTCCATTTCCTAATGACCTGGACCTGTGGGTGGCTGCCTGGTTCTGAGCTGATGCAACAGCCTTCCTTCCGACTCGCGACGTTTGCTGATCAGTTCCAGTTAAGCCAGCGCTCTTCAGCAGGTGTCTGGGCTGGAGGGTTAGGGTTAGGGTTTAAGGTTCTACTCTATTTTTTCCCTCCCTCTCTCATTTTTTTCTTTTTGGAACCAGGGATTGAACCCAGGGGTGCTTAACTACAGAGCCCCAGCCCAGCCCTTTTTTGTATTTTATTTAGAGACGGGGTCTCCCTGAGGTGCTGAGGGCCTCACTAAGTTGCTGAGGCTGGCTTTGAGCTGGCCGTCCTCCTGCCTCAGCCTCCCGAGCTGCTGGGATCACAGGGGTGGCCACGGCACCCGACTCAGGTCCTATTTCTCAACTCACAGACTGCTCAGGTTCCTTTTCTGTGTCACTTGCAGCAAGTCTTTGCCCCCGAGGAGTCTGTCCGTGTCCTCAGAGCTTGAGCCTGCCGGCATGAAGTGGTATCTGGAGTCCCCGCGAGGCTCCTGTGCCTGTCGAACCTGACTGCTGCTCCCTTTTCCTGGGCGTGTAGGCGGCGGGGGCTCCCTCTCCTGGGCTGGCGGGGGCTTGGTTGGGGCTCGCAGTCCTTCAGAGAGCCGGCTTTTACTTGTGGATCTTTCTGGGCTGACTTCTGTGTCCTCTGATTTCTGCTCGTCCTTATCACACCTTTCCCTCTACCTCGGAAGCTTTAATTCGCTCTCTAACGTGAGTAGCTTACGTAACTTCCCTTGGCTCTTAAGGGGGACTGAGCAAGGCCTTCCAAAGACGCCCAGGTTCTCTGTAACGTGCGCATGCTCCCCAGGAACACAGCCGGACAAACACATGTCGCCAAGACCACGCACTTCAGAGTCAAAGACACAAACATGCTGAAGGGGCCAAGATGTGAGACGATAGGCCCCACGAGTGATAGCCAGGCAGGTTATGCCCAGGAGGACCTGAGCTGGGCCCGGGGCCTGGAGTCATGGGCGGCCCCATGCCGGGTCAGAGTGGGCGACGGGACGTGTGGGGATGAAGAGGTTCCGCGGGGATGGGAGAGGGGCCCACAGACCAGGAGAAAAGCAGCCCCTGGAGCCGGAAACAGCCAAAGACAGTGCTCCCCGGGCCTCCAGAGGGGTGCGGCTGCCAACACCCCGGCTGTGGCCCCAAAAGTGCTCAGTGGTAAGCCTGTGCTGCCTGGAGCCCCTCCGTTTGTGGTCCTTTGTTACAGCAGCTACGGGGAACTCATACGGATGGTGTCCCGGCTTCTGCCTGGTTTTGTATGCTCCCTTGTGACTTCACATCCCCGGGTTTTATCTCTTCCAGGGTTTGTGGCTCTGTAACAGCAGGAGGGTCCATCTGATATCAGCTGCTCTGCCATTACCAGACTCAGAGAGGGACAGTAACAATTCTGAACTTCACAGCACCTGGATCCCAAGGGCCCATGCGGCTTGGGCCTGCCTTGCAGGTGTGTGTGGATCAAGTGAGGTCATCCACTGAGAGTGCCACGTAAGGTCTGCATGAGCCGAACCGACAGGATGCTGGAGTGTCCAGAGAATCAGAAAGGCTGTGAGCGGGGCCCAAGACGCACAGTGGGTCCACAGAACTCATGCAAAGTGAGTTTGGATGCCTTGGGCAGGCTGCTACCAAATGCGCTCGTCTCCCCTCCCCTCACCTGTCAGTCAGAGCCTCCTCCCCAAGAAGCCTCACCCGCGGAGGTGACGTTTTCCTTCTGTGGGTGCCAGTCCACGCGCACACTCCTGGGCAGGAGGGAGAAAGGCCAGGCCTGGAAGAAACCTGCCCGAGGCCCAGGGAGGCCCCACAGCTGCACTGTCCTCCCTGTGCCCCAACCTGGCGTCCTACCTGCTGACCTTTTCCAGCCAGAACTCCCCATCTGTCCACAAGTGACTCCCGTGCTGCCGCCTCAGCACAGGGCAGGGGGCTTGGGGAAGAGACCCCACTCCTCCAACCCACCGTTGGAGCTGCCGAGGGTCTTCGCCCTCGAGGGCACTGGGCATCTCCAGCAGCATCAGAGAGGCCGCTCTTGACAGGAGAGCTCAGCAGACCCCAGAGGAAGGGCAGGTCCTCTGGGGTGACCTCCTGGGCCAGGCCCAAACCCACAGGGTCTGCAGACATGCATCTTTGTTGGCATCTGGCTGCAATCAAAATATTTCTGAACAGCTGGTAGCCCTGAACAAAGGGGATTCCACATAAAATCCAGGTGCCTGGCCTCCCCCAAATGTCAGAAGCTGCCAACCTGTCCCACGTCATCACCTGGCCACGTGGGAGGGGCTGGAGGGGCGGGGCCTCAGGCGGGCACGTCCCCTCGCCCCGCCACACCCTCTCCACTGCCGGCCAGGATCCAGGTCTGTCACTGCACAGCACCGTCCTCTTCTAGGTGGAAGAGAAAAGCGAGGTTTGGCTCCAGCTTTTTGTGAACAGGGGAAACAAGAGCAGGAGCCTGTGTCTCGGGAAGAGCGGCCCTCTATTCTTTGTGGATATGATGACGTCCT